GAAACTACAGAAAATCGGACAAGGGACATTTGGCGAGGTATTTAAAGCTAGACACAAGGCGACAAAACAGCATTTTGCACTTAAAAGGGTGCTTATTGAACAAGAAAAAGAAGGTGTAAGCCAGAATTGTTATCACATGTAGTTTCCCATAACTGCCATAAGGGAGATTCGTATACTCCAATCGTTAAAGCATGAGAATATCGTTTGTCTCAGAGAGATATGCCATAGTGCTGGTGGGTGTGTCTTACTTTACGTTTTAGTAAATGAAGCCAATCATTGGCGGCCTCAGTTCTTCCTAGTATTCGAGTTTTGCGACCATGATCTCGCTGGATTAAGCCAACAAGTAGAATTTTCTGAACCTGTTAAGAAGTCTATAATGCAGCAACTTTTTCAGGGAATTTTTTATTTACATAGGTAGGGTATCCATATAAGTATTGCGCTTTTATTGTACTTTATAGAAACAACATACTTCATAGAGACTTGAAGGCTGCAAACATTCTAATTGACAAAAATGGGATATTAAAGATTGCAGATTTCGGTCTCGCAAGAACCACTGTGGTTTCTATCCGATCTGAACGTCCAACGCGGTACACAGGACGCGTTGTAACCTTGTGGTACAGGCCACCTGAGATTCTATTGAATGATAGACACTACGGGAAACCTGTTGATTTGTGGGGTGCTGGATGCATTATGGCTGAATTGTGGACTAAATATCCAATAATGCAGGTAAGTGGTGTTTTTTAATCACTTAGTATCACTATTTTTCCGAAAATTAACTTTGAACTCTTGATCTCTCTTGTCCTTTAATTGGTCAACTATTTCTTTTAGATATACAGTAAATAATTCTTTATTTGCATAACAAACATAAGGCAATTTCTCGTACAAGTGTCCTTAGGCTGTATTCGTCGCGAGTATATTTTTATCTATGTACATGCTTATTCAATTTAAATTTGTAGATATGAAGATAAACTTGGTTTCGATGAATCTCCTGAGATAATATTGTTAGGGGACCTTCGTTCCGAATGAAAGTGCATGAAAAAGAGATTCGTTGGTCGATCTCATCAGATGAGGACGGATGAAACTCGTTGTACT